ATTTCAACTTTGCAATGTATTACTTTTATAATAATTACGTAAACTATGTTATGTTTTATGTTATTATTGTTGGGACACTAACCCGGGCTATTGGGTCTGTGAATATTTCAATATTACCGACTTGATAATGTGTTGCATTCGTAATTATTACGCAAATATAAACATGGGCGCATTTACTAGTAAATCATTGAAAAAGATAGTCAGGTCCCGGAGTCAGGTGTCTAACGAAAGTCGAGAAAATAATTTAAATACTTGTGACTCATCGGTGAATTATTTTATTCGAAATAAAGTGAATATGTAATATTAACCATACAATAACATACAATATCATGCGTAATGTTAAATTTTTTTATAATAAACTCGCAGCGCACTTCGATCGCATTATTCACGTACATTTCGACTGAACTCTAATAACCATTCCATGCAAAATAATTACGAAAAACTAATGAAAACTTCGAAATATACTGTAATGTAGGCCCCTATGGCGTTAAAAACCCCTACGGACGCTTAACACACGTGTTTGAATTACGTGCGGCAATGGGCAATGACCTCAATGAGTTCACGCACTGACCCCCCAGTTTGACGCAAAACGATATAGTTACTTAACATTTGTTCAAAAAATCGGTAAACTCTCGCGAAGAGTTAACTGAAAGGCAACGTCGTTTTTGACCAAAAAAAAACCACGTCAATACAAGATTATGTGTGCAAGGTTAGATTTATAGAATGTACATGACCGCTTAACTTTTTTAATAATCATGCCGCACGTGAAACACGGGAGACATTTTAGTTCGTCCATTTCTTGTTTACCGATCTTGAACTTTTTGTCTGGAATGCGATACAGGCAAAGAATAAACATTAATGATACCCACCGTTGTCAAATCAACAAGAGGCTCGAATCAGGAAGGCTTGGCTATTTAAAACTTCGTAAATAACATTCTTTTCATGTGGTAGACTTTATTCAAGTGTAACAAACGTAAGTGAAATGTATGGACGAGTCATAATACTCATACCTTCGAAAGTTACGACTTTTACTCTTGGAATTGGTGATAAATACATGCATAAAATACAACATTGTTTCATGCAACAACAATTCGTATACAGCATTGGACTTATGGATTTTTATATTAATAAAATACGTGGGCCGATAATATTACTATATGCTTAGTATTTCCATGCCAGCGATGCTCGTAACCTGCTCAATTTAAAAACAGCTATTTGAAACAAAGACTCAGGGAATCACAAAGGAAACTGTTAAGTACGTATTTCACACCTTTCCTACGACCGCGGTTGCAACCGGTATTGGTGGCCACCGCGGTAGAGACCCCTAATTATAAGCAGTCCGCGGCTCTCCCCGGTGTACCGCAGAGAGCCGCGGTGATTACCGCGGTGAACCGCCCGTTTGATTTCCTACTCTTCCCTAACTAAATTACTAAATAATACAAAATCTCTAAAATACTAACTAATATAAAATTACTAAATTGACAGCAGGCATTAAGATGTCAAGTAAGACCCTGCTTCCTGACTTTGAATACTGGCAACACTTTTTGAATGAGAAATTCAGTAAACTTGCATATTTCACCGTTTTTCGGTAATTTACAACTACATAGTCATAGTAATGTCATACAATCTAATACTGATTGTATACCAAATTTATAGTGATTACTTGAATATTGGTCAATATTTCTTGGAAACCTACTAGTAATTACATTCGTGAATAATGTCTTGTCAATCACTGTTATGTAAGGGTGATCTGTTTCTAAGGCTTTCTGTACACTTTAACAGACAGTCAGTTAGCATACTGAATTTGAATAGCCACACCTCATATAATTCTGCCCATGGTAATGCAGCTGCCATTACTCGTATATGAACACAGTGTAGAATAGAGTAATATGTTTTTATAAACATCAGTTTATGGTTAAATTTGTTAAGTAGTATGTTTTTACCAACATTAGTCATTTCCTTGTTTTCCAAAGATTTGACAACATTCGTTCTTATAATTATTAGCCAATCAAATAAGTCAATTGGTTATAAAGAAAAATCACCATATACAGATATAGTGCCCAGGTTTAATTCCCTTGTCATATGTTTTAATTGTATGCAATTTGTTTGTTAAATTAATAAGTACTACTGGTAACAATTTGTTTTTCATTTTTCAGGGTGGTAAAACAATAGTGGTAGCATTTGCTGATGAAAATTCACTGCCAAAAGAAAAAGAGATATTTTTAGTGTTTGAAGGCTCTGCAAGTCGTCATATAACCTCAGTTAACAGACTTAATGCATTTACTCTGCAGGCAGTTATTCCTGGTAAGATTGTCTTTGAAATAAGCATTACAGTTGCATTCCCACCTGCAAATATGTGAGGCATCATCAAATGTTGAGTCATGAGAAATTAGCAGTAGAATATGGAATTAAAAGGCAGTGGTCATCATGCCACATTTAATTGTGCCACATTTGTGTTGATAAACATTAATTTGCCACAATCCAATGAGCCCTTCTAATGAATATTGACTTGGACAAAACATGCACTAAATACCGCCGGGAGCTCCTTCAATACCTTCTAATCAGCAAAGAAATTACCTAGGTAAAGCTTGGTAATGTCTCGGTTTGTACCGCCATCTTTGTTCATATGAGACCCATATCTTGGGCGTGCGTGGTGGAACAATTACTGTAAAATATTTTATTTCTGTTTTGAATTTATTTCTATTAAATTTATTCATTAAAATGGTGTGTATCTACTGTAAAGGGGGTAATTATTCACTGGGTTTTAATTTAGCTTATTTCGCTGACTGGAAAATGAGCTAAATTAAAACCCAGTGAATATGTAAAATTTAGCATAGAACACATTATCTAAATGGCGAAACTGTTAATTTAAAATCCACTGAATATGCCTGAAATGGTAAATCAGTGAAATTTAAACCCAGTGAAAATTAGTCATTTTACAGTATTTCAAAATGTTTTACAGTATCACATTTTTTAGCTAAAACATATTCCATGTTTTTAGCTTGATTTGGGAGTCAGGTTTTACATATTTGAAAAGTTGGAATGAAACTTTAAGTTTGTGTTAAGTTTTTTTTTTGTTAACAATTTTTCTGCACATATATATCAAAATAAAGTAAGGGTTGTTCTTCACGAAGTGAGTTGGTTATTTCCATGTATTCACAATTTTGTGCATAGCTTCAATTACCAACTGATTTATTGTATGGCTACTCTTTTTGAAATCTTGCCCACTCCTGAGACAAGTACAATATGATAATTGGTTTACAACATCAATTATTTGTGCTGATACTATGTTTATTTCAGGTCATGACCGAAGTGAAGTCGTACAGTTATCTGTCTGTCTGTTCCATGACAATCAGCATATAGTTGTAGCACAGGGCAAGTTTGAATTCATGGAGGACCCAGTACAAATCTTTGCTGCTTGGCTCCTTGATAGTGTACATGATGCCAATGCCTTGGATAAGGATGAGACGATAATTCAGAATTCTGGATTTGATTTTTGTGCAGAAGATAAGTCAATATTAGATGTACAGCTTGCTAGTGCCTTTGAAAACTTAACTATACCACATTCCTGGAGTATTGTGGGAGACACTTCCAGATTGGAACAAGGTAAAGCTATTGTCCTACGTTTAGCACTATTAACGTTTACTTATGTTTCTTTGAAATGCACAGCATTATATTGAACAAGCACTTTATTATTTCCTATTCAGATGAAGTCTGTTCTACTGCCACTCGTTTTTGTTTTATTATTACATGATCAAAAAAGTTGGTATTCAAACTTTGTTGCCATGGAAACAATGACTGAATTCTACCCCTGAAGCCATTTTGAATTTGGTCAAAAATATATAAATCAAAAATTCATAATTCAAAACTGACTTTGTTTATTTCTTTTTTGCTTTGAGCTTACAAATAGTCAGTCACAGTTTATTCCTCTGTCATAGTTTATATCTGAATCTATCTTTAGTTATCTACAATGAAAAAAATGAAATTTAATTATAGATAATAGAATTACAAGATAATCTATTCTTTTTGTGAACAGAGCCACCTCCACGAGAAACACTGCTACATTTTGCAGCCAGACAAGGCTTCTCTCAGTTTGCAATGCTTTTACTGAATAAACCGGGAAGTGATGTATCGCTGCGGTTACCAAATAAACATGGTGAATTCCCAAGAGATATTGCTCGTGAGAGGGGATTGGATTCATTGGTGGACACAATGCACGAGTAAGTGAACCCTTCTACACACTTTATCAATAAATTTCTCTTGCCATCTTTAGAATCAGTCTTGTTGGTTACCAGGGTAGAAATGTTTTTGATTCGTCGGACATTTCAGAAATGACTGAATGGTCTTTTATGCATTTTAATCTTTTGGTAAGGTTATGGTACTTATACTATGTGGAACTATATTACATTTAATTGTGTGTATCTCATTCGTATTTACTGCCAGTTTGTTGTGTGCATGGCTTCATTCATTCAAAAGTTGTAATCTGATGAACAGTTGTAATACAGACACTCACTGAATTACAATTTGCAAAATCCCTTTTTTCATTTATTCTTCATCTGTCTCCATGGAGATGATAGCGATCTGAGTGTTTATAAAATATATTATATATATTTTTCATTTGTTCCCATAGAAATTGTTTTTATTTTACAATATTAATTCTCACACAAATTTAAGTGTTCAACATAGGTAAATACACTTAGTGTGTGGTTAAATAATTGATCACAAATTTTACTATGGCAAAGAATTGATGACTATATTAGCGGGCTTCATTTATTTTGTTCATCCAGGAAGGCGACTGAGTGAATTTTAGTAGCAAGGGAATCCTAATCACTGCACTCAGTAAACTCTATTTAACCGTTGTAACATTGTGACGGTTTGATTGTTTTTTCTCTCTATAGGCTTTAAAACGAGCTATGTGCAT